GTTAGGATAACAACTAACTAGTTTAAGAGGCAGTTATTAAACTGTCTTTGAACTGCTTAGCCTTTTATTCGCTATGAAGCGACAGAGCAATTAAACTCTGTGTTATATTGATTAACTTGTTTCGCTAATGAGTATAACAAAGAGATTAATTACTATAATAAATTTTAGGTAATGGGTTTACCAAGCAAAAATTTACTTATGATAAAACAGGTGAAAAACTTAACTGAGTGTTTATGTTAGAAAAGGAAAAAGGATGAAGTGAAAAAAAGGCTATTAAACACATTAATAAACAAATGGAAGAAGAAACTAAAGAATTTAACAATTTAGTTCAAGAAATAAAAATTAATGATCCTACTAAAAAAACTTATGCAGATACCCTGAATGAATGGGTAGATGGTTATATTGGTTGATGTGAAAATAGTGTTCGTTATTCCAAAAAGCAAGATAATAAAGCTGAAAAAGAAAATGAAGAACAAATAACTAAAATAGAGCAACCGACCAACAAAAATTTTTTTCATAACTTTTCTCAAAGGATTTTGAAAAATAAAAACTAGAAATGAAAAACATGTATTCTAAATTTTATGAAGCACATGGCAGCAGAGAAGGCTGAAAAGACAAATCATTCACCGGCCCGACTAAGGAAAAATAACTTGAAGCCCTTGCTAACTCTCTTTCAGACTCAGAAAAAGAAAATCAAACAAGCGAGGAGCCAAAAAAAAGCCTCTAACCCTTAATCAAGCCCAAAAGGTAATTCAAAAACTACCACAGTTTTAATAATTGGTCTATTTTTATTTACCAAAAGAAGAAAATAGTACACAAAAAATAAATATATGAACAAAGAGAAGCAAAGTTTTCTTCTTTATCAACTAAATCCTTTAAAAAAATTGGAAGAATTTATTCAATAAAGCAAACTAAAATTAAAATAATATGAATAAAGATTATTTTTTTCAATTTATTCGAAGTTCTATAACTTGATTAGAAAAATTACAAGAAGTCTTTGGCAAATGTCAGGAAGCAATCCAAAGCGGAAAAATTCACGAAATGGATGGCAGCCGATTTAACGGCAATGCTGAGACTGGAAAAGCAACTTTCCAAGCAATTGCTAATTCTCTTTCTGTTTCCAACCAGGAGGATTTTCATTTTTGACCGCAAGAAAACCCAAAAGAGTCTAACCCTCAAGGAAAAAATAGCAGCAAACTCGAAAATGAAAATTCACAACTAGCCACTAACCAGCAAAAAAACGAAAACACGGCACCAAATTCGATGCCTTGAAAAACAATCTTAATAATTGGCGGAATTTTCCTTGCTAGTTTAATTTCTTTGCTTGCTTTTGTTTATTGAAAGAGGAAAAATGCAAAAAGAAAATAATCTTTTATTATCTGCCAAGGAATATGATAGTTGAATTACTTTTTATCTCAATTATTTAAATCCTTATTTTTCGGAAGAAAACTTTTCTATTTTCCAGAAAAAGTGGCGGTCTTATTGCAAACTTTATCAATTGTGAAAAGAAAAAAAACTAGAAACCGAGGAAATTAAAAATACGGTGGAACAATTAATTAATACTCAAAAACCTCTTGCTTATTTAATTAAAAAATACCAAAAAAAAGAAATAGCCGATTACTCTTTCCTTTTTACCGAATTAGAAAAATTGTGAAATGCCGATTTAGCCCAAAAATACTCTTTAAAGCCCCAAAAAGTCCAAAATTTTCTCCTGGGACAAATCAAAAAAGAGTCCCCGGATTTAGATATTCGAAAAATTAATGAAATAGTTAACGAATTTATTAGCAATAAGCAAAAAAATTAATGAAAAACTTTACTTTACCAATATAAGCTTTTTGTTTACAATTATTTTCAGCATTTTTTGTGAATTGTTGCTAAAATTATATTATACATGGTCAGAACGACAATCAACCAGCCGTTATATCAAAAATTTAATCTCCATTTAGTAGAGAAGAGTTGAAACGAGTTCTTTCAAGAACAAATCAAGCAAGAATATTTTACTAACTTACTAACCCAAATAGACGAAGAATACCAAAATCATTGATGT